ATCTGATAATTACGAACCAACCAAACCTGTATGAACCTCCCAAGTTTTAGCGCCCTTAGGGTCCTCAGACCATAATATTGTAACATGGTCACCCAGTCTAGAGAATACCAATTCTCAAGAACGTACGAAATCTGTCAAACGTCGCATCCGGCGCTATCCAAGGTCTGAGGTTGAAGCTTTGGGGAGATGGATCGCTACACATGTCTGGTTTGGCGAGTTAGGAACTAATCAAACGGTAGACGATTTAACATCATCATTCTCATCGCACCTTACAGAAGCCATTAATCGTATATTCCCTCCTATAACTGTGAAGTGGCATCAAACCGATAAACCTTGGATAACCCCAAGTATTAAAAAAAACTGATTAAAGACCGGCAGAAAGCATTCCATAATCATAATATCCCCCTATGGAAATATTTAAGATATAAAGTCCAAGAGGAGATTAAGCAAAGAAAAAAAATCATTTTATAAAAACAAAGTTCAGCATTTAAAAAACAGTGATAGTCATAAGTGGTGGAAAATCATTAACAAAATGTCTGGCAAACTCGAAACAACAAAGCCTTTCACCTTAGAACGCGATGGTGAAATCCTAAACAATTTACAAACTCCAATGCCCTTAACGAATTCTATACTTCCGTTAACGCTGATATTCCGCCATTAGATGTGAACTTATTACCACCATTTTTACCATCAAATGAAAACGTACCTGCAATTGAATGTTACCAAGTCTGTAAGAAACTCCAAACTGTCCATTCTTTCAAAGCCCCCGGACCTGACAATATTTCACCTCGAATTTTAAAGGAGTATGCTTACGTGCTAGCTGAGCCGATCACCATTATTTTTAATACATCCCTTGCTTCAGGAGTTGTGCCGAGTAGTTGGAAGGAATCGAACATAGTCCCAATCCCTAAAACATGTAAACCGATTGCTGAAGCCGACACTAGGCCTATATCACTAACATCGTGCTTGTCTGAAGTTTTAGAGGATTTCGTAGTATCTTGGCTGATTGAGGATGTAAAAGAAAAAATCGACCCCAGCCAATTTGGTTGCCTGAAAGGAACATCCACCACTTTTTGCCTTCTGGATATGTTACATACTTGGCTTTCCCATCTTGACGGACTCGGTAATCATCTGCGTATTTGTTTCCTGGACTTCTCCAAAGCCTTCGACCGCATAGGTTATAATCTATTAATTGAGAAACTGATAAATTTGGGTGCTAGACGCTCATTAATCCCTTGGATCATCAACTTCCTCTCAAATCGAAGGCAGCGTGTTAAATTTGACGGAGCAACTCTGACTGGCTTCCAGTGAATGCAGGTGTTCCTCAGGGGACAAAACTAGGTCCAATCTTGTTCCTAGTAATGGTCAATAACCTGCTAATCACTTCTCCCGACACTAGAATGTGGAAATACGTAGACGACGTTTCAACCTCTGAGATTCTTAGCAGAAATTGCACCTCTATCACTCAATCAACCCTTAATTCAGTTCAGTTGTGGGCTTCCGATAATTGGATGAAACTTAATATAAAAAAATGCAAAGAGCTTCGTGTTAGTTTCCTTGGAGAAACCCCCCAATTAATGCCTCTGTTAATCGATGGACACCCAATTGAGACAGTGCGTTCACATAAAGTACTGGGACTTACGATCCAAAACAACCTGAAATGGGATGAACATATCCATGAAATAGTCTCGAAGGCATCCAAACGATTGCATATCTTCCGGGTGTTGCGCCGAAGTGGTACAGTATTCCTCCTGCAGACCTTCTCACTGTGTATATTGCGTTAATACGCTCAATCCTTGAATACTCTTGTGAAGTTTGGCACAACTCTATCTCATGCTATTTATCTGACAAACTTGAAAAAATCCAAAAGCGAGCCTTGCGTATTGTATACCCTGAACAAACTTACAAAGATGCGTTGCTGTCGGCTGGTATCACCAAATTGGAGACTAGACGTGAAGAGCTATGTTTGAAGACACTCACGAAGATAACCAGAGGTGGTCCGCTTACACAACACGTGACCCAGACTAGATCGAACGAGCATAATTATTTTATTAGATCATTAAATAATTTATCAACTTATAAATGTCAAACTGATCGGTTTAAAAATAGCTTTTTCCCAAATACAATTAATATTGCTAATAGTAAACAGTGACTTGTGAGACTTGATTTTAACTTTGTTCTAACAACCATTGTAAATAATCTTATATTATTATAGTATTTTAATGTTAGCACTTTGTACTTCACTTTATGTGCGAAATTGTGCTATTACACATCATCTTATCTTATCTTATCTTATCTTATCTTATCTTATCTTATCTTATCTTATCTTATCTTATAGTGTACACATATGCAGGCTCGTAACTAGGATTTTAGATTTACCGAGTCGAGTGATCGGGGCATGCTCCCCCAGAAAATGTTTGATTTGCTAAGGCTTAGAAACGCTATTTCCTGCATTCTGGGAGCAATTTCAACTAGAATCTTTAGCTCTCATGGCTTGCCTGATTCTCGAAATTTCATCTATAAAAAACCTTCAACACTTAGTTCTATCGAGTGAGATGCCCCAAATCCTGATAACAATATTCGTTTCATGTTTCAAATTTTGTTTTAATATTTATTAGCCATCAACACAAACGAGAAAAACGTTTTGGTTCCAGACCATAGAATTCCAGTTGATGTTGTGAGGAATGAAAGATCATGACAACCTGTAATGAACTATCAGATACTCGGCGTATGTTATTACATGCCATTATGTTTTCGAGTCTTCTATCCACTCTTTGTGATGGAATTTTTAGTTATGACTTATGTGGACCATGTCAATCAGAGTTGTTTTGTTGGCAGAGGTTAAAAATTGTTATCTTAATTTGTATAGATGTTTGCATGATTGTAGTCGTAGCTTATATATTGTAAATATTTAATAATTTTAGGAACCGGTCATGGTAACTGCTAGGGTGGGCTGGATTTGGGATGGGCCATGGAAAATCTTTGGGCAGTTTCGATGGGCCGTCAATTCTTTTGTATGTCCACGGTTGGGCCACCAAACAAAAACCCATGCATGTCTACTTCAAAAAATAAAGATATTAATAATAAAAGTAAACAAAACTATCCAAATTATCAAATGCAAATGATGCTATTGAAGCTAGTACTTTGTTTATACAACAACAAGAAGTGGTCGAATCACAGCAAATACAACCAACTGGAGAGCAGCTCAGTATCAATGTGTTGGTCAAGCTTGGTGGAATTATGTATGTCAATAAAGTGCCGTGTATATTTTACAATGTTCATACCTGCATGTAATTTTTTTTTTTTATTATAAAAGTCTACTTTCCCAATTTAGACTGGGTGAGTCATGAAAAATTTTTTGTAGGATTAGATGGGCTTTGAAATTCGAACTTATTGGCAAAATTTGTGATTTCTCACTGTGACTGTGACTCCAGCCCACCTTAACAGTTACTTTATGACCAGTCCCTTAGCTATTATTAAACTTGTGAATTGTACACTCAGATATGTTGCTTCTTTTATTTATTTTTCATTCCAATTAGATCTGTGATCTGAGACCAAGCTGAACAAAGGTGTGTAATTTTGCACACCTTCCAAGGTGTTCATTTGCAAGCTGTGTAGCAAGCAAAAAGGTGTGTTATTTTTGACACCTTGCAAGTTGTGTAAAAAAGAACGGCTTAAGGTGTGTAATTTGTTCGCCAGAGATTCAGGGCAAAATACACACCATATGGTGTATAAAAATACACACCTTTTTGAAAAACACGCCTTAAGGTGTGTGAATTTGGCGACAAGCAAAAAAACCCGCAAAAAACACACCTTAAGGCGTGTTTTTTTTACACATCTTTATCTTGCAAATACACATCTTAAGGTGTGTAAAAATACACACCTTTTCCGCAAAATACACACCTTAAGCTGTGTAAATAAACACACCTTAAGCTGTGTAAATAAACACGCCTTAAGGTGTGTGAATTTGGCGACAGAAGGTTTGTTGAAAATATACACCTTATTTTTTAGAGTGCAAGAAAACTTTTCAATTTCATATTAACAATCAATTTTGAAGTGCATTGCATAGTTTTCCTTTTCATCCCTCTGATACCGCAGATAGCACCATAACTAATCATACCGTATTTTAATACGGTATGATTAGTTATGGATTTACTTGTTAAAACACACCCAATTAGGAATTAGAGACTGCATGAATCTAACGAATAAAAAATTGGCAGGTGACGTCATGTTCCCTTGGGTATTTAAGAAGCCACGATTGTAACTTTAGATCACCCCTGATGAAGACACTAGACTGGAGTGTCGAAACGTTGGGTCTTGATTACAATTCGACTGGGCTTTGTAATCATTTATTTATAAAACCAGAGTAGCGAGCGAAACATGAAAAACATTACATTAAAACTACAGTATACATACTTGATTCGTTGGTTCGAGCTGCGAGAGTAACTATTGTACCATTTCCAACACTTGTCATGGCATTTAAAGATACGCTGTACACCGAATAAGGTTCTGAAAAGATAAATGAGTTATATACACGCACGCGGTATATAAAACTGCATATACACATACAAAATGTGAAGCTCTTATCAAACGTTTTGACCTTTCTACCGGAGAGCATGAATTTTACAGCGAGGATTCCAGTTTTTTTCTTGTCATAAAAATTGCTTATTGCACTTCCAATATGATCTCATGCATATATAAAAACATATGAATCATTGGAAAATTATTCTTATACCAGCAGTTTTCTGTAAACGTCAATCTTAGGGTTTCTTTATTAATTTTGTTTGTACCACCGGCATTTACAAGATGATATAAAAAGTATTGCAAAGTCACCTGCACCACCATGCTTACCTAATTTGTCTATCCGAAACGATGCTGCATTCCCATTATTTATGATTTCAGTCTTTGAAACACTGTTAGAAACAGACATATTCTTGTCATCTCTCAAAATGCTCCAGACAATCCTGTATCCGATAATAACCCCGTTAGGGTCAGATGGTGACGTCCAGGTTAGATAGAGTTCTGTTGATGAAATACGTTCCAGCTGAACGTTTCCAGGCTTACCAGGTGCTATGGAGAAACACAAAAAGACAATTAGTTACTTAGTCTACTTGCACAAATAAAAGAGAAATCGTTCGGGATATCTGTATTCATGTATTTCCAGCCCGAACCGGTTTTTAAAGCTATCCCCTCAGAGGCATTTGGAGAACAGATTGTCTGAATATATCAGAAGAAAACTTAGCTAATTATAATAAAAGAAAAATACTTGATAGGGTACCAAATAAAAATAAATAATTAAAAATATCAATGAAATAGATTGAGAAAATCAATTTCTTGCATTCAACTGCGTGATGTTCCAGTCTGAACGTATGTCAGGTACATGCAGGCAGGCATCCAATTCGGATCCATGTTCCGGTTGCTCGCTCCGCTCGCTAATTGCAAATTAATTTTGGTTAATACCTGCAAAAAAGTAAATACCATAAACCTCCGCACATAAACCCCGCGAATATAATTAGCTCCCCCCCGTGTATAAGTCCCCTACATGTCCTAAAGCTCACCTCATTCCAAATATAAGCCCCCCCCCGGAATATAAGCCCAGTAGCCCACCACTAGCTTTATATAGCAGAGAACGATATTGATATAGCAGAGAACGATATCAGAGAACAGAGCTTTGATATAGCAGAGAACGATATTTAAAAACATCGTCATTGTCTTCATAGCTTACCATGTTAATCAAATTAATACATGTTTATTTTCCTGTTTATGACTGACTTGTTTATACTAACACAAAAGATCGTCCATGTATATGCCCCCCGTATATAACATCCACCCGCCCTTGCATAAGCACATCAAAAATCGCTTACGAAAGAATATAAGCCCAGGGCTTATAGTCGGAGGTTTTTGCGGTATATGTACAGGCAAGGTTTTCTCTCTCTGTTTGTGTATACTTACTTGATTGTTCGGTTCGGTTTACTTTACCCTCAGCAGAGCCAATTCCACCATTAGTAACAGCGTTCACTGTAACAATGTATTCTGAGTAAGGTTCTACAACGAGTTAAGAGCAATCAAAAGCATGTCTATACGATCATGCATAGCGCATGGCCGCGCCATTCTTTGCATTCTGAATAATATTATACAAATAATGAATGTTTTTATTCGTGCAATGGTAAGAATATTTTCATGAGGTGAAAGATGGAATGTAATTCCATTCAACGAGGCGACAGCCGAGTTGAATGGAACATTCCTTCTTTCACCGAATGAAAATATTCTTACCATTGCACGAATAAAAACATTCATGATTTGTTTTATATAATACCAAATTAGACAAATATTAAAAGGTTTACTGTAAGCTCCCGCCATTTTGACGAGTCGTATTTGCATTAAATCCCATTTACTAAGTTTCGAATATCGGGTTAAAATAAACTGCGATCACCGTACGAGAAGCATTTTGACGGATGCGATTTATCGAAAACACAAAGAGTGCAATGGAATAAAACGTATAGTACAATTGCACTCGCAAGAGTGGAAATGGAATTTTCTATTCAATATCACGCGGCCAATTAAACGATCAGAATTCAATAAGGTATTATATAATGTTTTGTTTTCCCGAGAGTCTCGATGTTTCCCGAGACGAAGTCGAGGGAAACTTTGTGAATCGAGGGAAAACAAAACTAACTATTTCCCGAGAGAACAGACATTAAGTGTTTTGTTATATAGCGACGAACAGAAATCAACATTCAACAACATTCATCCTCTGGTTGCCGGCAGGATACATTGCATTTATACCGAAGTCACGTGACCACAAATGAGCCAATCACGTTTGGTATTCACAGTAGCTATATAACAATACACTATATTTTCAACTGTTGTTGCATGTGATATTTTTACAATATAATACAATTTACAATATATTTTAAAATATGTAAATATCATGCTAGTATACTATAGGAATGGTTTCACCCTGAAACCACATGATTGTACAGTAGTGAAGATTTGAGGTAAGTCACCCTATATTATATTTACTCTGGTTTTGACAACTCTCTCATATATATACTGTAGTGTAAATACTAGGTAAACATTACGCAAATTTTATAGTAGACAGATTATTTGTGCAGTGATCAACATGCACGCGCGGAGTATGGCTTAATTTTTCTTAGCTTCTCATAACAGAAAAAGATTTTTTCGCGTGTTATACAAATGCTATATAGTGCTGTGCATGCAAACTCCAGCTTTTCAGCTCAGGCTGCTTTGCATTTCAAATCTCTGGCTCCGATTGTGTCGGTTCACAACACACGGGATGAAGTTTATAACCGGATAATGGTGGATATTATTCGACTCAATGTTGCCCCCAAGATAAACAGACTAAAAGAGGTGCTGCAGCTTATCAAAGTATGACGCTTGCGATTTACAACTCTTCCTGTGATAGATAGATCATGCACAGATAGATCATGCACAGATAGATCATGTACAGATAGATCATGCACATATAGGTCATGCCCAGATAGATCATGCATGGATAGATTTCAGACATGACTTGCACTACATCCCCGGCTTCGCCTGACCAAAAACCGCCGGTGCTCCGGCGCCAGAGTTGCAAAACATGCATGTTCAAACTTCCTCCGGGTAAAATTTAAAGTTTTCAAACCTTCCTCAAAATAAATTGAATAAATACTAAAATATGGCTTCATCAAATAGCAATATACTAGAATATATAAACTTAACTGATTCTGAAAGCATAAAATTCGAAAGAGACGTGTCGTTAAATGCAGTACACGATTCTAATATAAAATTTATCTTGTATTTTATTAACTAGTTTCTAAGTATTAAATATAAGGTAATCTCTGTTCGTGTTCGACTGCTACTTGATATATATTTGTCTGCTCCAGAGTCATTAATCATCTCAAATGTCAAACTGGGCGTATGAATATATTAACTAAATAATACGAATATATTAACTATATTACATCTTTTTTTGTTTCGATCATGAGGTATATATCACTATGAGTTATGGAGTTTCAGTTCGATTCAAAGGTTCAAGCGATCAGGTGGTTTGATAACTCTTCCAAAACGAGATCTTGGTAAACCATGTTGTCTCTCGTGGTCATCTTGGTGATCTGTAACTTGGCTTGGTTTCACGATTGTTTCTTGCCAATTGGTTTGTTCTACGATGGTTTCTTGCTGATTGATCGGTTCTACGATTGTGTCGTATTCATGCTCACTATCTGGTTCTTCTTTCACTTTCAGAAGATGGCGACGATTTCTTCGATAGTTTCGTCCATTTATATTTACCATGTAGGACCTTGGATAACTTGTCTCGTTTATTACAGTTCCTTTTTTCATGTATTTCCCTTTGATGTCTGTGACCCGCACCACATCTCCCTTTTGCAAATTTGGAAGAGGTTTAGCTGTGCGGTCATAGTACTTTTTGCTTTGCTGTCGATAATGTGATAAGCGTTTCGTAACTTCACTGGGCTCGATGACAGATGGTTTGAGCAATGTATCACTTATTGGGAGTAACGTTTTCGTTCGTCTGGCCATCAGTCGTTGGGCGGGACTGCCTAAAATGTTATCACGTGGTGTATTGCGATGACCAAGCAATGCAAGGTAAGGATCTTCATTGTTTTTCTTTGCTGTGCTGAGAATTTTCTTTGCTGTTTGAA